GAACGGGTAGAATTTCTCTATATAATTTGTCATTGTACTCTTTTATCCTCCTACAGTGGCAAATAAGTTAGAGAATCATCCACAGTCCACCCACCTCCTTTTTCTGTCCCACAAAGAGAGTTACACTTATGGCAAAAGGATAAATATAGCCACTATATTGTCTCAGCAGCTGGAGGTAATGAGCTGCGCCTTAGTCCATCCATTGGAAAATCTCTGACGATAATGCTTTGATCCATAACAACATTTTTGGTGAGAAAAGAATCTGAGTCTGCACAGCCAAAACCAGGTGCTGGTTTGATGTTTCTGCACTTCATAGTGGGAACAGTCCCTCAGGGAGAGGGTGCAATGAAAACAGCCCATGAACTGGTGGAATGATGTCATGTCTAGGGAGCTCAAAAACAGAAACTGTGGCCATGCAATGTAAAGAGTCCACCAGTTAAAGACCCCACTGAAACCCCTGTAATGCCTTACCAATATTAAGATTTCTTCTGTTTCAAGAGCTTTGTTGTGGTCTCTTTTAGACTGTGAGTTTCCTTTCATGTATTGGATATTCCTGTTAATATCAAAGTTAATTTTCATGGCTGTTTTTAAATTGTTTAATGGCCACTGTATTAGAGTTTAAATAATTCTGTACTGTATTGGGTTTCATGGCAAGGATTTGGTGGAGGCTGAGAAGATACCACAAGCTTCCCCTTTGTCAGACAAAGTCAATGTCACCTGGCAACAAGATGAACCCATCACTGGTTGAGGATGAGGCTATCAGAAACACCACCCCTATAACTCTCCATCTTCACAAAAACCTTCTGCATTTTCCACAGCTAAATAAAGCCCAAATAGCAATGGGAAGGGGATATGTTTTCCCTGCATTTGTGCTAACACACACTAGTTTTTGGAAAAGTACCCCCTCCAACCTGCAAAAATTTTGACACTATCCATTTTGTAGTCAGCACCTTTTGTCTGGGCAGGGGCATAGAATGTCACATACTGGTTAAACTGCATATAATTTGTAAGACGTTGTTTACATTTGCCTCTACAGAAAAAGAGTCTGTTTCCTTCACCTGAAATTGGTAAGTATTGTTTGACCTATATCAGCTGTGGGAATTAAATCTTTCCCAGTCTGTTTATGTAGGTACCACATGAATTACACAGTGCATGTGCAAGGCAGCCACTTCCATCAGCAGCCCTATGTTTTCATTGCCAAATGACAGCAGCACTAGAGAGAGGTGAAAATTACAATGTGAGACTTCCGAGTTCCATTAGCTAACAGGGGTGTCTGAGCTCTTTGCTCTAACTTACCTTGGGATGTGCAGTAACAGGGAATATAGCTTTGTAATGCCCAGATAAATGTATTCTCCAGAGTTAGCCAATCCATCATTTCATCTTTCATGAAACATCTTTTCTGGGTGTAGAGGTTCACAGAACAGATAAATATTTATTTGTATATCATTCTTTTTTATATACTACCATGGAAACAAGTAATTAAAAAATACTCTCAAGCAGGTGGGTTTGTTTTTAAATAATGTCTTTTCAGTTTTCACCTTTCCAGCTCTGCTCCTGTTGAGGGATTGGATTCTCTTTCTGCATCTGCCACTAGATGGTATTGCTTTAACAAGCACCTTCCTGCCTCTTCTGCACCCTTGAGACACACAAAAGCAGGGGCTGCCTGTGTTTTTAATATTCTTCAAGCATCTCCTGGCAAATGTTGAGGACAAAGCCTTACAATAGCAGATATTTAGTCCCACAGCTGGCAGCTTCTTGTGCTTTCAGCACAGTTTCTGCTTAAGGGCAAGTTTTATATTTGCCCTATAATCCAGAAGGCAAGACAGGTCTGTAGTCTGCCTGAAGTTTCAGAATACCTGATGTATAAAATTTGAAACAAACAGACAAAACTTTGTATACTCTAGGTCTTTTAGCTAATAGAAAAATGCAAATAAAATGCTTTTTTTTTCTTTCACAACTGCAATATTTTTCTAACACTTTTGTATTTCCTTTGTGTGCTCACAAAAGAAAAGCAGCTGATATGTAGGAAGTCATTCAGCAAAATTGTTATTATTCTAGGAGATGTAAACATCAATGTGGTGAGATATGAAGTAACTTCATATTAAAAGTTAATGACTTGGGCGGTTCTAATCCTTGATATGCGTCTTTATGGTAAGTTTATATGATGTGAGACTTACTCCACTTTTTTATTTCCTTGTTTTGTTGTTCTGTTATTAAACTTTCTTATATCATTGCTTTCCCTACTGGGGAAACAATCAAGAAAGTCAAACTGAAAGTGGAAAGAACATCCTCTAGATGTTCTCTGTACCCACATTCATAATTTTTCAGTGGTGTAATTACTATCTTTAACTTCATTGATATTTCTAAAACGATTCATAATTACTTTACTTGTTTATAAGTAAACAAAACCTGCTCCCACATTCCGGTTGAATGTTGAGATTGGCTAGCTGAAATTTTATTCGGTGTTTTGAAGAACTATTTGGAAGTTTTAAGCTTGAGTTAAACAGCAAACCTACCCTGCATCCCCACCCAACTGAGTAGGGGCTACAAAGGCCCTCCCTGTCCATGCCAGCCCCCTCCTGCCCCCTCATGCAAGCTGTCACTTTGCTGGCTCAGGTAGCAGTGGATTCAAAGACGAGGAGGGCTCTTCTGTTTTAAAAGAATGTAAAATTAGTTGGGTTACAGTGAAAGCATGACCCCAAGAGCCAGACCTGACCCCGTAAGTGCTGAACAGTTTGAACTGTGCTGCATCTTAACACACACAAGGGAGCTGCCAGCTGAGCTATGCTCATTGCTGAGGGGAAAAAAGTGCTTTTAACAAAATTCACTTTATTTCATGCATGTTGGAGAAAACAAAATAAAATGTCTCAGTATTCATAATCAGAATATAGAAAATCAATGCTGCAGATATTGCTGCTTCTTGCCTTCCACTACAGCTGCTGGTGCCCATTAGTGTCCTCCAACCCAGGTGAAGGAAACTCACTCTGAGTAAACTCTGAGAGGCAAGATCACAGCAGGAACTACCAAAACCAAGGTGCTTCTTTCCTCATCTTACTGATTGCAAGGAAAGCAGCCATCTCGTATTTCTCCTCTTCCAGGGCAGCAGGATGCCCTGGTGGCTCAGGAGGGAAGGAAGAGGCCGCTCTGCCATGCCCTGTGCTGTGTGGCACTGCAGCAAGGAGCGGGGCAGAGGTTGCAGGAAAGCTGGATGGCTGCACGCTGCAGGAAAAGATGAAGAAGGAGTCATGTGGAGTTAGTGACTCACACAATTAAGGTTTGGCATGGCTGAGTGGCAAGATAACACGATTTTACCATAAAAGGGCCAAATATGTTATTACTGTGGTATATGAGATTCAATTAAATGGCAACGTCAATTAAACAGCTCCCATAGCTTTTGTTTGGAAGCTTGCAAGGCTTTATTTCCTGCAAAAGCTGTTCATTGAGTAGCAGCAATTAGTTCCCCTGCAAATGAGACTGATTGCACAGCAGAGACTGTAACATTCTGGGCTTCTGTTGAAGAGCTGGGTTCAGGTCCATCCTTTGGTGAGTATTTAAGTGGAGTAGCTTCAGCAGGAATGTGAATGAATAGTTTGAACAGAGTGTATCCTTGGAAATGCTTAGTGCTCATCAGGCTGGAGGAGAACGAATGCTGCAGGAGTCCTTGGGCTCTCATACGCAGCTCCTGTTAGTTACGATGGGGATGGTTTCTTTCAGATTTTTTTCTTTGGCTGGAGAAGGAATTTCAATTTAGTGGCAGGAGAGCAGAAAACCTTTAAGTGAACAAACCTCCCTCCTAACGGGATGACATAGAGACAATTTGCAGTCTCCCTTTCAGAGAATGTCTTGGCCCTGTGTTATTTCATTTGAAGTGTTTTGAACTGATGAGTTCATCAAAACATCTCAATACCATAGGTTTTATTGGCTCCAAAACCACAGCCATTTCCTGGAAAGCCTCAACCTTCACCCAAGACATCTGACAGCAGTTTTGCCATACACACTTTCCATGTCCCTCAAGGAAAGCACCTGTAAGCAGCACAGATGGCACCACTGTTCGAAGCTGGCAGTGAACCTGCCCAGAGTGGTTTTCCCTGTAGAGAAGATGACTTTGCTCAAGCCCAGCTGAAGCTGCTGCTGTGGTCCAGGTGCCAGACTGCCCTCCTTTGCCACATCTCTCTGGCCCCCATCACTCCATCTCTTTGCCCCTTCACTCCTGCATCCTTCCATTCCTCATTTCCTCCATCCCTCAGCCTCTCCACCTCTCCTTCCCTCCAACCTGCCATCCTTCCTGTCCCTTCTTCCCTCCATCCCTCTGTCCCTCTATTCCTCCATCCATCTTCCCTTCCGCCCTCCATCCCTCTGGCCCTCCATCTCTCCTTCCCTCAATCCCTCCATCCATCTTGTCCCTTCACCCCTCGATCTCTCTGTCCCTCCATCCATCTTGTCCCTCTGTCACTCCATCCCTCTGTCCCTCCATCCCTCTGTCCCTCCGTCCCCCTGTCCCTCCATCCATCTTGTCCCTTCTTCCCTCCATCCCTCTGTCCCTCCATCCCTCTGGCCCTCCCTCCCTCAGTCTCTCCGTCCCTCTGTCCCTCCATCCGTCTTGTCCCTTCTTCCCTCCGTCCCTCTATCCCTCCGTCCCTCCCTCAGTCCCTCCCTCAGTCCCTCCATCCCTCAGTCTCTCCATCCCTCCCTCCCTCAGTCCCTCTGTCCCTCTGTCCCTCCATACGTCTTGTCCCTCCATCCCTCCGTCCCTCCGTCCCTCCGTCCCTCCCTCAGTCCCTCCCTCAGTCCCTCCATCCCTCAGTCTCTCCATCCCTCTCTCCCTCCCTCCGTCCCTCCCTCCCTCAGTCCCTCAGTCCCTCTCTCCCTCCCTCAGTCCCTCAGTCCCTCAGTCCCTCAGTCCCTCTGTCCCTCCGTCCCTCCGTCCCCAGCCGTCCCCAGCCGTCCCCCAGCCCCTGCAGTACTCCCGCCCGCCGCCAGGCCGCGCCAGCCGCAGGGTTGCCATGGCGACGGCGGCGTTGCTCCCCGCGCAGGCGCGGCCCCGCGGCGCTTCCGGCGGGCCGAGCGGCGGCGATGGAGCGGTGCGGGCCGGGGCCCGTCAGCGCCGTGCCCGTGGCCGAGTTCAGGCCGTGAGTCCCGGGGCGGCGGGGGGAGGGCCCGCGGTGGGGCGGGGGGCGCGCCCGGCACCAGCAGCCCGCGCTGGGGCAGCCGCGGAAGAGCCCTGGGGCGGGAGGAGCCGGAGCGGGCGGTGGGGAGGCCCCGGTTTGTCTGGGTCACTCTGCGTCACCCTGGGCCACCCCGAATCCCGCCGGCCCCGGCTGGGCTTACACAGCAATGCTTGTTTTTGCCGCGTAGGGAAGCGATGAGAGTATGTCAGTGTAGGAAAAGAATTTGTCAGCAGTGGAGTTTTTAACTTTAATAATAAGCTGGAGGTCATCTGCCTCTTCTGTGGGTAAGTGTTGATAGAATGGTTTCTAATTTCCCTAGGGAAATTTTGAATGCAGTTTTGTCCTCCACCCTGACAGTCCTTCGGGCAAACGCCAGTAAAGGAGAAGAATTCGGATGTTTTTCTTTTATAAAGCTATTTAATATGCTGCCTAAATGTATGGCAGTACATGAGCAGCCGGCAGTGCTGTTGGCTGCAGTGTAGAAGCTGTGCATGGCTGCACATAACTGTCAGAGGATGAAATAATTTTTTCCCCATTTCCACTTTTATTTTTTTCCAAAGAAAAACACATATATTTGTGTTTCAACACCCTAAGGATTTATGTCTTTGAATGATGCAGTCTCTGAAAGTCAGAAGGTTATTGCCTACCTTACATGTTTACCTCAGCATAAAATAATGTAGTTAGCCGGGCAGAGTGAGTGAGAACTGGTGGAAGCACACAGAACCAGGCTGTATGTTCTGTAAACACAACACCTGTTCTAGCAGGTCGGGTTCAAAGAGACCTGCCAAGAACATAAACTTTCATAAGCCTTCTCTTGTAAAAGGTCTTCCAGGTTTAGGTCTGTGAAGGCAAAGTTTTGGTGTAGTGGCTCTGTGCTGTGACTGTTACTGCACTTATTACAGCTCTCTTAGTTAAAAACTGATAAATTATTTTTAAATAGAGGAAGAAGACCTAATAAAAAGGAACTTGGAGTAGTAAACTGTTAAATTCATTCAGTGTACTTCCCTTTTTGTCCCAGCCTGTAGGATTTGTCATTTTCCTGGACTTGTAGTTACTTTAAAAAAAAAAAGGGAACTTGGCAAGTTTTAATGCAGGATACTGTCATATGACATGTACATGTGTAACTAATATTAGATACTTAACAATATGTAGTAATGCACTGATAAACCTATTAACATAACCCCCATATGTTACAATGCTTATAAAGCAGTAACAGGGAAAAGTATAAAGTTTGTTTTTAATTTTGTTTGTGAGCTTAGACTGGCAGAATCATTACATTGTTTTGGATACTCTCATTTTTATTGCAGACAACAAATGCATACTTCAAGTCTTTATTGCTTCCAAACAATACACTTACTCAGTTCTTGAGAACTAATCAGCTTCTGTTGGGAACAAGTTCTTGTCCTGTTTCAGGCATGTATATTGTGACTTTGTGTGTAACTTCTCTTATTTATTTCAGAAATGAGGGTTCATTAACATCAACTTTAAGAACGCTTCTGTTCTTCACAGCTCTAATGATTACATTACCCGTTGGGCTATATTTTTCATCAAAGGCTTATGTATTTGAAGGTAATTTTGTTTCTGCCAATTAGCATTATTATTACTAAAATAGAGGAGAAGCACAATGCTCTAATAGCAACTTTGTTCTTCCTGTTTTGAATATTTGTTTCCATATGTAGACAAAAAGTCCTGTAATGTCTAGTTAGAACAGCAAATTATATAAATGGTCAATGTATCTTTCTCTGCATTGTGGTCTGCAATCCAAAATCTGCTGTTTATTATACAATGATTTATACTGTATAGAGGTGCACTGTTCCCATACCTAAAGGGTTTTTAACACTACCCTGCAGAAGACTTTTGTCAGAATCATCAGCGATATGTTTCCTGCAGGTATTGCAAACTAGTCATGTGTTTGAGACAGAATAATGTTGTTTCTGAGGTTTATAATTTGCTTTTTGAAACATATGTGCATTTAAACAAGTTATATGCAATTTCAGATATTGAATGTGGTTGCTTGTGGAGCTTTCTTTTAATTAAAAAAATAAAAAGGAAGGGAGATTATGGCTGTTTGTTTGGACAAGGAGCCATGTTGTAGTCCTAATTCTGCAAGGCTTTAATACTTACCTCCTGCAGTTCTGGGAAGTTATCTCCTTTGGAAGTGGGGAGGAGGAAGGGAGAGAGCAGCTGCTTCATGAGCAGTTCATGAGTGTGTAACCGAGTTGTTCTGAGATTATTCTCCTTTAGTGTGTACTGCTGTATGTAGTACATCAAGGCCCAAAAGTTGTTAAGTAACTTTCAAGATCCTTTTTAGCTTTTTTTTTTTTCAATTTGCAGTGTAGCAAGCTGAGCTTTAACTTCACTGTGTCAGTTAATGACAAGATCTGTTGGCACTGAAAAGATTGTCTTTGCAGGGTGATGATTTTGGAGTGCTGTAATGTGTAGGTTTTGTTTGCTTTTGGGGAGACTTTGTTGGGTTTCTTAAGTCAGTTAAGGGAAACAATATTTCAGTGTTTGGTTGTTTCAATATTTGGAAGCTTGTTTTATATAAGATGCATTCGTGTATCGTAACTGGTGGGACATTATTGTTTTATAGTCTGAATACAGAAGGTAATAGTCTTCTAAATTTAATTGTTCTTCTACTGTTTTCTCCTGTTTTAGTGTCAAATTATTACAGAATTCTCCCCCTTCTTCGTCCCACCTCCCTTTCCCCTTTTATTCCCCCACAACAAGTTGCATTTAGGAAAAAAGGATGTTGAGGTTAGTTTGGTGCTAGAAGGTACTATCAGAAAAAGTGAATATTGTAGAACTCTAAGCTGTTGATGTCAAATCTAGGTTATTTTATGTTAAATATTGAATACTGTACTGTTGATTTGCTCCGGAAATAGTTTCAAGGCCTTTAACTGTCACAGTGAATTTTCTCCTGTGAATCATTTTGAGCTCAGACTTTTGATACAGGACTAAATGTAACTTTGGTCTTTGGGGAGAATTGTGACCTGACATGTCAGAGTTCATAGCTCATAACTAATATTCTTTACTTTTTTGTTTTCTCAGGTTCCTTGGGAATGTCTGACAGAGACAGCTATTTTTATGCTGCCATAGTTGCTGTAGTCACTGTCCATGTGGTGCTTGCTCTCTTTGTTTATGTGGCCTGGAACGAGGGTTCACGGCAGTGGCGTGAAGGCAAACAGGACTAAAGTGAGGATCATCGGTGTCTGATGTCCACAGACTGTAAATCAGATTTTTTGTGAGCTGAAGGAAAAGCATTCTTCCAAATGTGTAATACACATGCACAAAGGGGAGGCTGGTGCCTCAGTTGTGGTTAAAATAAGACTTGTGCTCATCTTGACTATGTACTGGTGTTTTCTGCAATGGTGATGGAAGTTGTTCTTTAGCCAGCTTCTACTATGTTGAGCTGAGGAGGCCTTAACTTGCAATTAAAGTAGAATAATTATATATTTTTTGAAAACTCCTGTAGGTACTTTTGCCATGCCTAGTATTTTCCTGGCTTGCTCTGAAAATAATATTGGCATGAAGCAAACATTACATTTTCAAGGAATTAAATTGCTGTTTAAAAAAGCTACATTACTTACTATGCAGCTACAGTATAAAAGATGGAATTTCATTTTGCTGTGAATAGTTTCCTGATTTATATGTGTGGTGGTTTAACTGCAGCCAGGAATTGAGTGCTGTGCAGCGGCTCACTCACTGTGACCCCTCCATGGGATGAATGGGGGAATCAGGAAAGCAAAGTGAGAAAACTCATGGGTCAAGATTAATACAGTTTAATAGGAAAAACAAAAGCTGCACGTGTAAGTGTGTTGGTTTTGAGTACAAATTCAAACCATAGTCCCATGGTAGCTATTATGAAGAAAACTACCTCTATCCCAGCCCAAACCAACACAATGGGATAGGTGTAATTAATCTATTTCTGTGTTTAGAAGTAGTTTAAAAACCAGAATTGTTTAGAAACTCAGGTGATGTCTTTCTAATGTGAAGTACAATTTTTTTTTTCAAATATATTTTTTATTGCAGTGTAAAATTCAATCTTTAATTTCCTTTTGGGAGAAGTGGTATCGTGCATTGCTCATCTTTCTCCTCTTCTGCAGTTTATCCTGATAATGCAAAGGAAGGGGCATAGCTTATTTTTTGTATGTCTTTAGACAGGTATGTACCTCCTTGATATTTGCTGAAGTGTGCAGTTGGATTTCCTATGGTAGAGCAGTGTCAGTAACAGTCATAAGCTGCTGTAATGGCTGGTAGGGGAAGGAGCAAGAGAAAACAAGCTGTCGTTGTCTGTGTCCTTTCTGAAGCAGAGGACACAAAAATGACCACATGGAAAATTGACTTTTCTTCATAACTACTTACTTGTGCACTGTGAAATGATACAATATGATGATTGTTTTCTTTTTCCCTTGGTTGTGCGTAGAGCTTCCTGTAGTCACACCTTAGTGAGATTTTTGTGCTGTAAGATAACATGACTTTCATTCCACTGTTGTGCTGTTGTTAGCAAGCTTTTTAATCTGCTTAAAACATTTTTCCTAAAGTTCCAGCAAGGCAAACTTTCTTAACCCTGGTAATGGTTGTTAAGCAGTTGTGCTTGAGGTCATTCTGTTAATTTAAATTTTACAGTTTATTGTATTAGTTTAGCCTTTCTTGGAAGTTTTTTGCTTAATATGGGGCTTGGCATGGTTTTGGTGCTGCATGTGTCTTTGATAAAACTTAGGTATAAATGAGGCAAAAACTGGTTATCTGTGCCCAGTGGCTGGATTATTGTGTCCCTAAGCCTCATTCTTGTCTTGTCCACTCCAGTTCCAGGTGTGCACAAACATATGCACCATGGCACACTAATGCAAATCAGTTTTTACACTTTGTTTCTGCTGTGTTACCTTTTCTCATCCAGAGCCCCCTAGTCAGGTTGCTGCTGGCAAACTGGAGAACCTTCTCAGAGTACTTGAAGTGCAAAGTTAGTTTGTAGATGGGCACATTGGCTTCCTGTTCTCCAGTGTATGAAGTGTATGTTGTGGAACAAATACTGCCTTTTAATAAAGATCTGCCCTGCAATACAAGATCCAGTAAACAATATGTGCTGAACATTTTTTGAATAATGTCTTTAATATTCCACATGTAGAGTACAGCTTAAAGCAAATATATAGCGCCATTCAATAGCTTAACTTTTTTTATTTCTTTTAAATTTTATTCACATTGGAATAAAAATTAAGAGTTACACTTACGAAATAAAGAATTTGAAGTTTATTTGGTACTAGAAAACGGTAGCAGAAAAAATGAATATTACAGAAGTCTAAGATGTTGACTTCAAGAGGAATACACCTGCTATGCTCTATTAGCTGGGTCCTATGCTATGTCTGTTTTATGTTTTATGTAGCAGAATCCCTAGACACAAAGTTAATAACTGGGAAATAATTCCTTATTATAACTGTTGAGTTAAAAAAATCTGGCAAGTTTGGTCTCTGCTGTATGTGCAGGCGCTGTTATGTCTCAGCAGTTGGGGGTAGTGAGCTGAGCATGAATTCATCCATTGGAAGATCTTTGAAGGTAATGTTTTGCTTCACCACAACATTCCTGGTGAGACAAGAGGCACCAGCCGAGTCTGCAGAGCCAGAGCCAGGTGCTGGTTTGATGCTGCCTGTGCTTCTGAGAGTGAACAATCCCTCAGGTAAAGGGTGCAGTGAAAACAGCCCATGGAGGGTTGTCCTGTTGCAACCCAGGGAGGCCCACGGGGAGCATTCTCTTCCCTCCCTCCTTGCCAGCAGTGGGGAGCCACACTGGAGCAGTCTGTTCCTGGAGGACTGCACCCTGTGCAAGGAACCCACACTAGAGCAGTTTGTGAGGGACTGAGGAGGGAGGAGGGCAGGAGCAATGTGTGGAGAGTTGACCACAGCACCCACTCCCTGTCCCTCCTGGGGGAGGTAGAGAACTTGGAGTAAAGTTGAACCTGGGAAGAAAGGAGTGCTGGGGGGCAGGTGTTTTATTTTGCATCACCCTACTCTGATTTGATGGGTAATAAATTAATTTCCTCACACTGGGTCTGTTTTTCCCATGATTGTAATTAGTAAATTACTTCCCTGTGCTTTTTCTCAACCAAGGAGCCTTTTGTTACCTTTTCTTTCCCCATCCAGCTAGAAAGGGGAGTGTTATCATGATTTTGATGGGCATATGGTGTCCAGCCCAGGTCAAGCCCACCACATTTAAACTGCCAAAAGTTGTAGAGAGATCAGAATTCTTGTTTGCTTGATTTTTTTTATTTTCTATAGAATGGTGATGTAAACTTTTAAACAGTGTGGTATTCTAAAGTGGTGTAAGCTTGTTAATTTTACTACAAGGAATGGATTTGGGACAACTCTTAAAAGACAGCTGGGAAAACTGCATAAGTCCTTCAGTACTTCACATATGCCTCTCACTTAATGGTCTTTCATGTGTTTGCATAGGTTGACAATTAGTTTAGCTAATGCAAGCAATTTTATCTCACAGTGAGCAAATACCTTGAGACAGATTGTAGCAGAAATTTTCCAGAACATTTTCCAAAAGTGAGTACACAGTGGGGGAATTGGGAAGTGAGAAATAAGTGACTTGTCATTTGGTTTTGTCTTTTGTACTTAATATCTCTGTTTTTTCAAATGCCTACAGGATACTGTGGTGGTAGGTACCCAGCCTGTGACAGTGTGCAGGTGAGTGAGCAGCTTTGGTTTGTGCTTAGGGATGCCTGACTAAACTCTCTATTAACTGCCAGCACTGAGTAAGAAGTTTCCAGAGCAAATGGTGATGATGGTGGTCATGTCATTAACAGGAATTATCATTGATCAAAGTACATGAACTTGAAACAGTCTTAATAGTGCATTTGAAACAAAATAAAATACTGCCTACCTGTTTCTTGCATTGTAAGAAAGGGCCTTGTAATAACACTCAACATTAAAAAAACAAAACCCCAAGAAAACAGCCAAACACAAAAACAACAACCCTACCCTTCAGAAAGGACAAGCTCCTGTGCTGAGGAGGGCAGGCTGTGCTACCTGATCACTGATGGGCCAGGGTAAGGTGTGGTGCTCGCTGAGAAATTATGTTCTCACCTAGTGCATTGGTGAACAATAAAATGTTTGATGTTACTGCAAGTTTGGTGGGTTTCAGCCTGCTGTGACTGCTGTAGTTCAATAAAATGTGCTTAGGCTTCTGACAGCCCTTGCAGCTGGACAGGGTGTACTGAGAGCATCCTGCAGGGGTGCAGTTGGTACTAGTTCGGGTGAGTAAGAGATGAGGAAGCAAAGGGCCCTTAAATAACTAACTGAGCCATACATTGTAGTATTCCAAAATACCATATTTTGGGTGTGGCAGATGTAGGTAAGGTGCAGCCCATGGGGCAAGAGGAGAAGGGTCCTGTGAAGCAAAGGAGTGACTTGGAGGAGATGGGGTGAGGGCTGGAATGTGCTAGCATGGCTTGATATATGATGGCAGAGGCACCATGTGTTTTGTTTGGAAGTGTTTATTCCACCGTTTTTCAAGGGATTGTGTAGCACCATTGGTCTCAAGTATTGAATGTAAGTAATGCAAAATAGTAAGATAATTCTATTTTAAACTTCCAGCTAAAGTTGTTCATAGGTTGACAGCTTTGCTGTGTGAGATCTGGGACACGTTTATTTACTTTGTCTTGTACAAACCAGCATTGTTTCTGGCTCTGAGTCATCTCGTAGGGCATGGTCAAGCCCTTGGAGTGTAAATATTACTTTAAAAATACCAAAGAGCAGCTGCCACTCTAATGTTTCATTAGCTCCAATCAACTGTCAGTTTGAGAGTAATACAGAAGCTGCTTGTTTGAAGGTGACAGAAAGCAGAGCTTGTTGTGTCCCTGTAAGAGGAAGCCCTCAGGTGCTTGAATGGGTCTTGCAAGAAGAAATTGCTGTGTGATTCAGAGCCCCCACAGTCATTCTCTTATCTGAAGATACACCAGTGTCTGAATTTCTGAGCTGTTGGCATAGAACTTGAGTCTCTTTGTTAGGAGAAGCACAGTGTTGTGTAACAATGCTGAGCTGTAGTTGTAAAAGAGGAAATGGAGGTAAGCTCTTAGGACTTGAGCTCTGTTTGAACCTAAGGCAGTAAGAAAAGGGATGGAGAAAATGTATGTGAATTCCTGTAGAAAGCAGCTTTTTTAGGTGCTGGTTATTAAACCACGAGACAGAGCCAATCAAGGTCCTGTTTCAAAAGGTAGGGGTACAGACTGGGAAGTTTTGTGGGGAAGGATGCCCAGGGTGAAGAGCTAGGGGAGTTGATAAAAGTAGATAATTTGGTGACTGGCTGGCTGAATGCCTGGGATGGAGATTTTTTTTCTAGGGCAGGTTTGCTGTCATGCTTCACAACCATTTTGTTGTACTAGCTTTGGATAGTTCTTGCTGAGATGATTCCCCTGTTGGCCCACTGTTTGGAGGGGTGATCAGGTGCATACTTGCAGCTGTGCTCTTAACACACTACAAACTGCTCACAGGCCTGCAAAAAAGGCTGTTGCTGCTTTTAGTTGCCACATGAGACACTGTGGTTTAATAGTTTTAGTGGAAATGGCCCAGGGCATAGGCACAGGGGGTATGTTATTAATTAAAACTGTTTGTAATTGAAGAAGGATTTATGAGTGAGAGTAATAGCAGTCAGAGATTAAGAGCAAACACTTCTGTGGGTGTGGGCCCATGCTGCAGGCACCATGGAGGATATGTTTAATACCTTTGCAGTTCTTCATCCTCAAGATGCAGGTTTTTTTACCATGCTTAAGTCATTAGTGTGGCTCTGCTAGAGATCAGTGGAAGTTTGGCTTCACAGCTGGAATGCTGCTCATTTCAGGGGACTGAGTCTTTGATGTGTAGGTGGTTTTGTGTCTGACAGAAGAAGAAAAACCCACTTTGCTCTCAAACCACGTCACACTTGAAGCCCATTCCTAGAATAATTCCTACAGAATTAGCAAGTTAATATGAAGCATTATGATAGAGCATAAAGTTTTCTTTACAAACTTTTGTTATATCTGCAATGTAATGCTTTTTTCTTCAGAGTCAAGTATGCCCTCACCAAAAAATTCAAAGCACAGGTGATACTAATGATCTGGGCGTTGGAACTATTTTGATGGCTGTTTGTGTTAAGTGCAGCTACGTGTTTAAATGTGGAGTGGCTGTAGCTCATCTGCAGGGTTTGCCCAGTATCTCTGAGGCTTGGGTAGACACCAAATCCTGTGTTTAATAGAGATTCCTCTGCTGGCCTTAATGCTTAGGGGCTTCAACCCATCTCCCAGTTTTGCTTAGTGAAAACTGGACCTTGCGTTTTATATTGGAATTATAATGGTCTCTTTCTATATGATAATGACTGACTGATCATGAAGCCAGTTCTTTTTATTCCTATCTAGCATTAAGCCAGTTCCTTCATTCCTATCTAGCATTTATTTCTAAACTGTTACAGTTCTGCAAACAGCAGCAAGTCACTCCTTTTAGTACTTCTCCCTCTTCACCTTTCCTTACTAAGTGCTTTCCATGGAAGCAAATATTGCCTGTAGTGAGATACCTCTTGTGATCCCTAGTTGAGATAATGTTGAACTTTGTAGGGCAAGATGAGGCTTTTATAACACTTGGTAGGTATTTTGCTTTCCTATGCATGTGTTTTCAGAATTGTTTTTTCTATCAGCCCTGATACTTAAGGCATGAAAATTGATTTCAGTAGGAAAAAAAATCCAATTTTATAGACAATTCCTGTATTAGTTATCTGTTTGCCACGGGCCTTTGGGAGGAGTAATTAGCAACACCAAAACAGCAGCATATTTCTGTGTTGTCAGATACTTACTAGGTTCAGAACAGTGGTCAAAACAGTGGTTCAAACTCTGTGGTCAAATGTAGATTTATTTTAGCGTTTTATAGGACTCAGGAATATGTAAGTACCCTCAGTAGTATTGGCAGTGGGATCCAAGCTGCTTTCATTTCTCCAGCCCTAAAAGAAAACTACATTGAACCTTTAAGTCAGGAAATGTTAGAGACCCCCTCAGGAATATGTAATGCATGCAGCTCTTCAAGATGCCTGCCCATGGCAGAATTCTGTGTTTGCTTTATATCAAGTTTATGCAAGGGGTTCATTTGGAAGGAGAGCTGAGTGGCTTGTGAATTTTCTACCTCGGGTCAGCTGTGCTCTAACTGCATGGTCCAAATTATATTTGATGGGATAAATTATTTTTGTGTGCTTTTTATGGATTTTGTTCAAAAGGCAAACAGGTAATTCATCTCAGCAGGTAATTCTGCAGAGCATCAGAACTAATTTTCTGCAGTTCCATTCAGTTACAGACGAAGCAATGGAGTAATATATCTGATTACATAAGCATGAGTTCTGTTGATCATATCTGTGTGTGGATATAATACATTAACTGATTGACCAGTAAAGCAGACAAGAGTAATTTATTTTGTGTTGTATCCTTGATTTGTGACAAGACAGTTTTCCTTCAGTTCAAACTCAGCAGTTTGCTCATCTCAGAAATTAATGTAGACTGATTGACCAGTAAGAGTTGGTGTGTTTGTAAAAGCCAGTGTGCTCTAGATTCCTGTGAAAAGCAGGTGAGTCCTTGCATCATAAAGGAAGTCCCATTGCCTGCAATCCTGGCTGTTGGAGAATTAACAAGGACTGGTCCTGAATCAGATGATAATTGAAATGCAGAAAATGAGGTATTGGAGGTAACTGTTTCAGGACTGCTGTGGTTTGGGTGGGTAAGAAGATTTATCCATCAGTAAAAGGATGTCAACTGACTCTTCTTTTTCTCATTTGAATTCCTAGCAATGGAAAATGAGTATAAAGCCATCATTTACTCATAACAGTGTCTGAAAAACACCGTTTTTCAAATCTGTGTGTATTATTTCCTCAGGAAAAAATTCTGCTTTAAACTAGGCTTTTGAGACTTGGTACAAATTTAAGCTGCTTTAGCCAAAAAAAGCTTTTGGGTAAAACTGGTGGTGTTGTTGATGGATTTTCCTCTCCAGAATTCACTGGATATTCCTTTTGTGCTAAAAACAAAGGTGAACATCACAGAATACTGTATATGGCACATTGTACAGTGCCTTGCATGTGCTGCCTGCTCTTCTTGCAGCCATTTCCAAAGGACAAGGCGGGATCCAGCTGCACTCTGGCTGTATGAGCACACAGAAGAGCTGCTCTCTGTCCCAAGGAAATCACCATACAGCAAAGTCAGTCTGGCTAAAGGGATATTGTCAACAAACACAGCAAATGTGTCCAGGTGGAAGTGTTCAGTGCAGTTAGCACAGGATAACTCCTGGACTTGTTGGACCTGGCTTTGGAGCTATGGCACATCTACCCCTGGAGAGGTAAAGAGATTCACTCTGCTGACTGTGGCTGATCACAGAACTGGAGGGCAGGTGAGGGAAGGGATTGGAACTTGAGTTTTTTATCCATTGGTCTGCCAGCAATATCTGCTATTCACTACCACCCATCCACAGGGATTTTCTAGGGATTTTTTCTGGTGAGAACTTGAATCAGTGGATATCTGGACTTTTACCTAATTTTGCCTAGCTTGATGCTTTCTTCAAGGTCTGCAGACATGGTACCCCATGCTTTCCTTTCTTGTCAGTTCTGAATAGTCCGTTAAATCCCTCTTTCAATACTTTTTTGCCATTGTTCAGCTGGCTTTAGACTTTTCTGGGTTTCTTTCAGGTGTACCTTTTCTCTGTTTCATCATTTCCTTCCACATCTAAAAACTTAAAGTAATAAGAAAGGCTTGTTAAAATTTGCACAGTGCTGGGGGATGGTGCTGCACCTAAATGGTGCCATTCCATTTTCTCTTCAATGGTGTTGGTGCTGGGCTTTTGTCCTGCTTCACACTTCAAGAGCATATCCCTTAATTTTTCCACAAGGTTCAGTAGGGAATGAGTTCAGGGGTCAGGATCCAGAATATGCATATGGTGCTATCCAGGGTAAGGTTTAGCATGAGATGAGAAAAATACAGCAGTGAGCAAATGATAAAGGAATTAAACTAATATAGAGTCCCTATTTTATCATGTGTGCCTTGGGGTATGTGCATGTCTTAGCTCTAAGCAATGTATTGTTTGGGAAAGTACATTCAAGCATGACTAATCTGCATTTGTCTCCCTCTCCCAAAACATTGTTTCATTTGAAATGTTTTATTTCTCTGTATTTAAAGAATATTCTTTCATAATGCAAAAGCTATTTTTCATTTTTCTAGAACAATTGGTTGAAGTGTTTCTATTAATCTTTCTATTATTTAAGCACTTCTATCTGCAATGCACAATAGAAACGAATTTATTTTGTTTGAGACAAGCTTGCTTTTTATCCTACAGAAACAGTGACTCATGAGATTCATCCAAGCCTCATCTGTATTCCTCCCCCAGCTAATAAGTTAAATGTGAGTTTTGTGTTTGTATTAAAAGACAGCCTGTGTGTACCTCACCAGGGAGCTTGTTTGAACATGGAGTTCACAAGAGGAAAATTCCTTGCCACAGTAAAATTGCTTCATTAGGCATTAAGGCGCTTTGCAAAGTTTGCTCCTTAAGTGAAGAAAACAGCATTAGATTTAATTTATGGCTCACACTTAGAGTGATCCTAGTCTGGTGTGCACTTCAGCATGATGCCAGAAGGTTCTGATACATGAAGAGACCACAGAAGGCAAAGACCTGTAATGCTTTGTCTTTGGGCCTGTTAATCCTGCAGATGGAGAGTATCAGGATCTACAAGATTCTACACTGATCTGTTTTCACTCTGAAACAGTTCTGCAAATGTTTGTGCTGGTCTAACTAGGAAGGGAGTGTGAAGGATGGGTGCAGGTATTCGTAGTCAGTGTACCTGCTGAAGCCCCATGTGGTGAGGAGACACCCTCAGCTGGAGCTGACCCCACATTAACACAGAGAAGCTTGTTTAAAGCTAAAATGAGGTATGGGCTTACAACTCCAGGGTGTGGATGGACCACAGGGCTTTAGCTGGGAGGAAACAGACCCTGATCAGTACAGGTCGCTGCATGAAAAATGGAGAATTTCTCTGCAAAGCTGTGGATTTTGCATTGGGCTTTTTTAACTGACCAAAGTCTTCTCGGTACCCAAGTATTTCTTTTTGGTGAATTCTGGAGAGGATTGTAAGAGAATCTTTCCAGAAATAAATTTATATCCTGTGCATCAACTTGTTCCTGTTTGGACACTCACAAAACGGTGCCTTGCAGATGTTGGGATAACTGGTACTCAACTAAGAAAAGACTAATGAGATTGATTTTCTAGGAACAATAAAAACTTCACTCATAATTATCTCCTCCCTTTACCTTTCCCTAGGGATGTCCTGTATTTGCAGAAGCTGCACAATAGATATGCAGCACTTCTGTTTTCCTGGAACTCTCCAAAGCAAGTGTGCTTCTGTGAATGGAGTTCTTGATAGATGAACCTGCTGAAGTGCAAGTGACTCTGATCTGTACAGCAAAGGGTTAAGAAAACATACATCTGCAAAATTGAAAGATGAAAGCAACCTAGACCATTAATTTCACATTTTCTTATGGAGAAAAACACTTTCAGCAGATACAGCATGTGGAAGGAAGAAGAAAAACTCCTCCACTGGCAGGACTGGGAAGTTGAGCTATGTGTTGAAGCTCAGAGATTGAAGGCTCCAGAGGGTAATTCATACTCCTGCCTTACAACTCTCTCAGAATTATTGTTGCAAGTGCAGTGAGCACCAGAAGCTTACAGGAGAATTCTGCCAGAAATATGTTAGGCAGCTCTATGAATGGCAGGAACATCTTTAGTTTGACAGGTAATATTTACTTTCTCCCATCCCATCTCCAGACAACTGCAAGAGAAAAATACTGTGACTCACTGCAGGCCACTAGGCCAAGAAAGATTTTCACATTTCTCTAACAGACTGGGTTTCAGTTGGCTTTGATGGACATGGTTTCATGGGCACTTCAGCACCAGGACTGACCTGAGTCTGCAAGTCAGGCAGATTTTTCTTTTGAGTGGATTTTTCTAGGTTATTATTGACAGCTTTCCTTAACTGGATTTTCATGAGTGATGTGTTGATTTGACATAGTCCTATGCATGAGCTGAATGTAATATTCCAAATTTAAGACTGCAAGGTAAACAAATTCCCAATGCAAAAGGCAGTCTCAAAGACTTCCAAAGCCTTCTCATTATAAAAGTAATTTCAAAGTAAAAGTCTGAATGCTGAAAAATACTTAATTTCACAGAAAAGTAATTTAAGCAGCATGTATTTTGGAGTTTGAGGGTTTCCATACATCACAGTATTAATTTCCTTGTTCATTTGTAGGTGTCTGCTCGTTAAGTAGGATCTTCTTCAGAAAGTGTAGGGGCTGTTTAAATGCTTTAGGGGATGAGTATATTTATTATGAACTGATAATCCTTGTAACTTGTTACATTAAAATATAAATGGATTATATTTCTATGAGAAGCATGAAAGTGATTACTAAACTGTGGAAATAAGAGTGATAGAACCCTAAATAGTGTAATAATCCTCTAAAAGGAAATTGCACCCCATTCATTTATAATGGTTTTGTGATTGGCTTTGTTTTAGTCCAACTTTTGAGTCAATGCTTCCATGAAATTCTCATGACTTGCCTTCCAAAATGACATCAAAGACAAAAGGAGAAAAACAGTCTTGACAAAACCAGGTCACCACATCAGCAAGAGCAGAGTGGGCTGAGCAGCTCTGCTTCCTAAATCAAAGCCTTGCTGCAGGAGCTCTGCTGTGCTGCCATTAGTGCGTCACAAATGCCGTTCTCAGCAGTGAGGGACCAAAAACTGTCACAACTGCAGAAACAGGCTGAAGGCTTTGGCCAAAGCCTGGTGCCGGTCTCCTCAGAGCACTGCTATGCTGAAGTGAGGATGTGGAGGTCCTCAAGGTATGGCTTTTGGAGGATGTCCTGGTCCCAGCTATACTTTGTAGCCAGGAATGAGGGGGAGTAGCAAGTCCTTTGTGCCTAAATCAAGCAAAAATCCCAGCAAGAAATCTGAGGTGTTCTGCCAGCCCTGTCCTTCCAGAGGTCCTTTCATAGTCTTGGCCAAACTCCCACATGTGGGAGAGATTAAGGGTCTTCTAAAGGATACACATCTGGACTGTGAGGGAGATGTTTGGGCCAGAAGCCTATCTCAGTCTGCCTTCAGAGCAAGGAACTCTTAAGAAACCATCATCTCCCTCTCCTGCCTCGGTTCCTGTGTATCCCCAGAAGAGCTGTCCATCAAGGGACAGAGAGGGAGATTTGAATATGCACACAGGGCCATGCAGGCTGCTTTGACATTGCCATTGCATCCAAATAACTCCATGTATGGTTTGGCTGTCTGCAGTGGTAGGGTGGGACCTAGAGTACACTCCAGAAAAGGACTCTCCTCCTGGATCCTGTGTGGCTCTATCCTCCAGGCTTTTTTGTAAAGGGCCAATATAGTGTCTATAGCCAAAACTTAACGAGATAATTATAGCTGGCAGGGCTCGGTAATTAATGTCTAGTACAGCCTACTGTAACATACTGCTGCTTTACATGAGTTTTGTGCAAAGTGGGAGTGCTGAGGTGTGCTCGTTTGCTGCTGTCTGACAGGGAGAGGGTGACAAATCCTACAGGAAGAAGGAAATGTGCCTCCCATCTTTTGGGGTTTTAATTAAATTAAGTGCAGTGGCAGAAATGGCAAGGTGCCAAGGCTTCTCCTGTGACTGAACAAGCACTTTGCAGAGAGGGAACCTGGGCCCAGGAGGCTCATACAGGTGTCTGTATTCAAGAACAGCATCTGCTCTGGCTAACAAGCCTCAATCTGTGTTGTTGATTTACTTAATGAAGAAGAGACCTTCACCTGTGTCTGTGACCATGTGGGTGCAAGGATTTGGTGTTTCCACATTAGTGGCAATAGCATCACATGGTCCCTGGCAGGTTTCACTAAAGCCATCCAGCAGCATAGGTAGCAAATGCTAATGGAAGCCACATGGCACGAGCTTTGCTCTTTCTATGGAATGCCTCAGAGAAGATTTAGCAGAAGTGGAGACCTGTTCTGGGGCTTGGAGTGTCACGCTGTGCAATGTCTCCCAATGGAGCTACTACTGCCTGCTGAAACCTGGAGTCTGCTCCTGCACCTGAGATCCTGGCTCCACCTTGTTGGCAGAGACATCCCAGTTTCCAGGGGATGGAGTTCAGAGTGGTTCAGATCAGCTGCCTCTGCCCACACCCTTCTGATGTCCTGCAAGTGCTGCAGGGGCACCTGGGCATATGGGTCTGTGTCTCAGGGGAGGTTATGATTGTACAAAGCAAATGCCAAGCACAAGCTGGCATCTTCTCTTACTCAACAGGTCATCCAGAGGAGGAAACTAAGTTCCTCTTTTTGGGAAGGAAAACAGGAACTTAATTGTTCTAATATTAGGAAGACCTGACTATCTTTATCTCCATGCAAAATAGATGACTTCTATTACCTGGGACTTCTCTGTGTACGATTTTGAGCAGAGCAAGCTAATAATGACTTGAGTCTCCTTGGGGTTTAAAATGGAATTCTTGCTTCACAGTGTAAATAGGAAGTGATAGTGTAGCATGTAGGAGGTCATTTATCTTCTAGACTTACTACATTTTGTAGGATTATAATTTTTTTAAATCTTTTTGTTCTTTTTGTTTCATCCTGAGACTTGACAGAGGCAAGCAGGTAACTGAAGGTACACACAGAGCATTTTAATGGGACTTTTTCCTGAATTCATCTGAAGCCAAGCCCCCTCTGACCACAGCCCCACCCTCTCATCTGCATTTCATAAGGGTATTACCGCTGTAATTAATAGGACTTGTATAACAGTACCTAATTAAACTCTGATCATATAGTGTAAATTTAACTTGATTATCATTAGCCTCAGTGAACTCTGCAGGAGATTAATCCTGATGATTCACTCAGCACAGAGAGCAACAGCAGCAGCTCTGCGGAGGACCAAAATATTGGTGAACAGCAATGCTCTGTGCCCCCAAACCCTGCAAGGTAAGGCTGGGTACCAACAGCAGCACAGTGTCAGGGAGGGGGTGGGATGGGAGTCTCCCCATTTTCAAATTGCTTAAAAGCCACTGGAATGCCAGCAGGCTTCTACAGCGCCGTTCTTAAAATCACTGAATAAGGAGTCTGTGAGAGGATTATGGCTTACATAAGAGTTTTATGTCTGTCCTAAAGCTACAGCCCCCCCTATGCATTTGTCCACTGCGTAGGGTGTCTGCCAGTGATTCATGGACACCAGAATGTTCTGAATGACTACAAGCCACATTTTGTTTAGGATTATTACAGATTCAGGACCTGGTCCCAGTCTTTTAAAAACTGATGAGGTTTATTCTGTGGGAAGAGAGCAGAGGCAATAATGTTATATTTCTTTATATTAATTCCTGCATGTGAAACTGCTGTATACTTTGCTTCTACACATTGTGCTGGAGAATTCTTTGCTAAAAAACCAAATAAACATTTGGTAAAATAATGGGGGTTTTTCTGTTTATAGTCCTGAAATACAGAGCATGGGGTTTGTCCTGTCTTTGGCTGAACATATCTGTTTGTTTGCTGCTAATAATAGTTTAATCAATGGGGCTGATTCCTGCATATTCTCTGTCTGACAGTAGCCCAGAAGACCCAGATGACAGCAAAAAAGGTGTTTTGTATATGTCACTGTTTCATTCTTTTTTGTTGTTGTTGCTTAATTAAAAGCAAAGAGAAAGTTTTACTCCTGTTTGCATGAATGGTCACATCAAACAGTACAGGAAAATCTAGGCCAAGCTGCTTTCAGTGGGCTAAGGAACATTATACCATTGCACCACTTCTTTCATGGTAGCTATGCCTCTTAATAAACATCAGGCACCTTTTGAACTTTCTTTGAAACCGTTAGTTTTGCTTTCCACAAGTCCCCTGTAGCCCACCTTGCCCCCCCAGCTGTTGTTAGGAGATGTGTCCGTGTGGGATGGGAAGGAGAGGGTTGTGTGCGGGGTGCATCCTCGCTGCCTGCAGAAATGGTGCTGGTTATATAACGCCCTTGCTGGGTAACGAGGTGAAACTCTGTCAACTCTTCTGCAGGAGCTTTCAGAGGGTTTGGGG